CTAAGTTTTGCGAAGCCGGCCAGACATCATAATGGGGTAGATGTGGATCACACAGGTATGTGTCTAAGCTTGGTGTTCTGGAAGGGTTCAGGCTAAACACCCACATGGGGAATTGAAGCCACGAGGCCAAATGGGGTCAACTGGGGAGTGAGTGCAGACAGAAAGACAGCAGGTATGAGGACCGAATCCCGGCCGCTCCCACTTGAAGAGGTAGGGGAATGAGACGGGAAAGCATGTTTGCACGTTTCCAACGTGTTTCTAAATTATATTCCCCACCTGCCTCCCATCCCAAGCTAACACTGGAGTAAACCAGGTTAGAGCCTTCGGCACCAAGGCCAACAACTTCTGGGGTTGGCAGTGCCTTAGCTACAATTTTGTAGCAAGTCCCTTTGGAACTGGCTACCAAAAGTTGTCTGTTGAGCTTATGGGCCCACTATTCTAATCCTACCTTCTCTCCTTCGCATTTAAAGAGAAAACTGGGAGACATGAGAGGGGCGTTACTCGACCCCTTCAGTAATAGTTCCCACATAGAGCCAGTCTGGAATGGTCAGCTACAAGATGCGTATTTGAACATCAAGATGTGAAAGTCATCTTATCCTGCTAATTAAGACACTGTTCACCGTCATTTACAAAGAAATAAACAGGACCAACGCCCTTGGCTGGAGGTTTTGCAGAATACTTGGAGACCATGAGCCCTGAACCCAACCAAACCAGAAATTCTCTCATTTCAAAGGATGCCTTTTACAATTTATTTTTCCATGTGTGTTTTATGCCTGACTCTTGAGGTTTTAACATTGTGAAATTTTTTTAAAATATGAAAATTATATTAAATAAAACTTTAAAGTTATTTTCTGATTGCCCTCTCCTCTCTAGCACATACTGGGAGGAGGGAACTGTGGTCCTATTAATTTTTGAAATATGAATAGTTAAAATGTTAGCTCATCAAGGAACAAACGCGATGATCTGGAAAGAAATCATAGGGAATGTAGTTTCCTTTAAAAAAATAAAAAAGAAAAAGGAAATTTGATATCATGGATACGTGCCTCCTAATTTTCTTTTTCACAAACCTAAACTTTGTGTGATTACCTTATTGTACCTCTGAGAATTTCTCAAATGTCTAAACAAAGGAGTAGAAAGGACACAACTACGAAAGGCTCCAAATCTTTTTTCTGTGTCAGAATACGATGCCAGCCCCTAGCCCCATTACCCAGTTAGTCCTCTCTTCTCGGAGCTGCAGAAAGAACAGTCCTGCCTCTTAACTTACACGTACGTTCATTGGGCAACGCTGACTGCATTTTAAGCACCTCGGCAATAATAAATGAGATGCAGACACCTGAACCAATTGCTAGGTTGATATTTACTTTGAAAAGTTTAAATCTTTGTTGACACAGGGGGCTGGGGGGAAAGAATGCCAAATTTCTGACACTCCTCTGATATTCAGAGTCTCAAAACATATTGCCTACAGTCGTAGATTCCTAAAGACGCCTGTGCATCCAGACCTTGGATGAATAAGTGGGTACCCCCAACTGGGGTCTTGTTTCCGGATGGCAGGTGGGGAAGCACAGGCTTTAGAAAAAGCACAGACCTGGTTTTGAAGACAAGCTCCATTGCTTTTACTACCCATGTGGATAAGGGCAAGTTACGTTCCCTCTTTAAGTTTTAGCTTCCTTGTCTAAAAAAAGAAGATAATAGGGCCGGCCGAGTGGCGCGATGGTTAAGAACTCGATTGGGATGCCAGAGGGCCCCGGTTCGGATCCCACATATGAGGGCCAGTGACACTGCCCTCTACAGCTAAGATGCTGAACAACAGCTCAACCTGGAG